TTCAAAATGAAACTGAAACTAAAAGATTTTAATAATACAACTTTTATTTTTTTTTAAATGGCTTTTTAAATTTTTTCAGTTTCATTATTTATTTCAAACATTATGTAGAGGTGCATTTACACAACACAGTTTCAACTACAACAAAAATTAACATTTTATATTTCTCAGCAACGTGACGTCGCCTACTACTGGCGTGGCATGCTTACTGCAGCATTTCATATTTAATTTCACAGATCTTTCACAGGACAAGTTGTTCTGTTTTTGAGTACATTGTTGTTATTTAGACTTGCTCTAAAAGAATACAAACTAAAACAGAGAGTGAAATATCAAAATCAACCAAGTGCTGATGAAAAAGATGAACTTGAAAAGGCAAAAGCAAAACTACCACACATTTTCATCTGATACTCAACAGCATTTGCAATTCAAAGTTTTAGTCACAGGACTGGAGATAACCTGGAGGACAAGACATCCATAGAACTGCAGTACCGCCCTGTCAGTTTTCCACATTAAAGGGCACCTATTGGGCACCTATTTTATCTCTATCTAGATTTAATACAATTCTTTTGTGTCTCTAGAGTTTGTCTGTGAAGTTTCAGCGCAAAACACACATCAGATTATTTATTACACCTTACAGAATATTTAAATTTTCTGTTCTGACCAACCATGTAGCTGTTTTTATTGCCTGTGCCTTTATTGCTGGTTCTCCTCGCCCACTGTTTCCACGTGCCCGTCAGAGTGTGCCTTAATCTCTGACTGCGTCAGATAAACAGCACAGTGACAGACATGAGGGAAGCAGATCTCAGGTAACGTTTGTAAGAAATACAACAGTAAGAACTTTCCCAACGATTATTTGATATATTTGTTGTGGAGTTAATTCAAGCCTTTCTGCAATGATGAGTCGCACACGATGTTTTTACAAAGTTCACGCACATACACACAGCGGAAACACACACATCGTGCACGTTTAACTTTGCACTGTTTTTGCACGGCAAATATGACAGAATACACGTTAATATCTACTGCTGTATAAATATTCGTTTTGTTAATGTACATAATAACCTGATTTAATGTCAACAAACTGAAATTGAAGCGTTTTCTTTTAAAATGGAACTGACATGCAGCTGTGGTGATGAAGAAAAGATGGTAAAATGGCTGTAATTCATTACAAACATGCACTGCTTTAAAAACGTTTTAAACTTGTAAAACTCACGTCCTGCCTTGTTGATATGATTATATGCGTTTCTACGGAGACATGTTAATATTCGGCTGTTTATCAATTCTGTGGGCGGGGAAAACCACACTCCTACGTCACATTGCAGTCAGCTTCAAAATGGGAGGGATTTCGATCCTATTTTAACGTCAGGAAATTTTAAAAAGAGACTTACTGTGTTTATATCACCCCAATATGACTGGACACACTATACCTACACACAGTTCTGTCCAAACAGCTTACAAAAGATGATTTTCATCATATGTGCCCTTTAATAAAGTACTGAAACTAAAAACGCATGAACAAATTTATAGTCTTCAAGACTGTCCCTGCTAAAAAAATCCATCTTAAACCAGCCTAGGCTGGTTGGCTGGTTTTAGCTGGTCGACCAGGCTGGTTTTAGAGGGGTTTTGGCCACTTCCAGGCTATTTTCCAGCCATTTCCAGCCTGGTCTTAGCTGGTCAGGCTGGAAAATGACCAGCTAAATCCAGCTAAAACCAGCTTGACCAGCCTGGTTTAAGCTGGACATAGCTGGTCTTGGCTGGGCTCCCAGCCTGGCTAGGCTGGTCAAGCTGGTTTTAGCTGGTCATCTCCCAGCCTAACCAGCTAAGACCAGGCTGGAAATGGCTGGAAACCAGCCTGGAAGTGGCCAAAACCCCTCTAAAACCAGCCTGGTTGACCAGCTAAAACCAGCCAAGCAGCCTAGGCTGTTTTAAGCTGGATTTTTCAGCAGGGGTATGATTGTATACTGCTGCAGTATTGAACTTAACCTATTGAATGGAATGGAGAATGACCTAATTATGTAATGGGAAGATGCTTTTTTGTTTTTTGATTGGTCTGACATGAGAAGACCTGAGCGGTTATTAGAGTTACTTTCTACGGATGTGGTGTAAACAAGTTGAAGGTACATTGCACAGTGTTTCACAGCCCACAGACACGGTTCTTTCCATTCTCATACAGAAAAGTAGCACTAATTCACATTCACTTAGAGCCAATAATCACATTAGTTAGATTGCTTAGTTTAAATTATATATAAAACGTCAGACAAGTAAGCTTTATTACTTTTTCCTTATGGACATAAGTACAAGTGTGCAAGCCAATATGTAAATTTAAACCAAAAATTACTTTTATAAGGGGTTATAAAAGTAAGGCAACATTGTGTGAATATAGCCAGCCTCTGATAGTAAAAACCTATTCCATTATAATAAACTTCATAATAACAGTCTGCAGAACACTTTGATTGACAATCTTTCTTAGTGCATGTCATCAAAGGGGAGAAAGTGATGATATCTCCCTTATTAGCATAGACAGCTCAAGCACAAGCGTATACTCCGGTGCAGCCTACGTGAGGTCGCATAGCAACTCGCCGTGGCCATCGGCGACGCTGAAGCACACCTCACAAAAAATGGAACTACACATCACAACGACGAGTAGTGCAAGCTCTGTGATAGGTCAGCTTGGTAGCGCTGACAAATCTGGGCGGGGATGAAAGCCGTGCGAGCCTGATGGAGTGAGTGTTTACAAGTGTAATGTCCAGTGAAAGAGCTCCAGATGGAAAGTTTTGTTTTCATAGTTAAAGTTGTTGCACGTCCCCCAGTTCCACCTCAAAATGAGGGAGTTTGAGCCACTTGTACATTAAGGAAGCGTTCAGAAAAAAACAAAACACCAGTGAAGAAACTCGACACAGACCAACATAAACTACTGCCAACTAGCATTTTGGAAGTGTTATTGTAAAGCAACACAAACAGCACACAGAAGTATAAACGCACAGCAATGCGCAAGGCATGCATTGTGAGTCACGCCGATCACTCGACGCAGAAGTATAAGGCTTTAGTCCCTGATTTATCAGGGGTTGCTACAATGGAATGAATCACCAACTATTCCAGCATATGTTTTACGCAGTGCATGCCCTTCCAGCTGCAACCCAGTACTAGAAAACACCCATACACTCTCGCATTCACACTTATACACTATAGGCCAATTTAGTCCAATTCATCCAATTCACTGATACCACATGTCTTTGGACTGTGGGGAAAACCGGAGCACCCGGAGAAAACCCACACAAACACGGGGAGAACATGCAAACTCCACATTGAAATGCCAACTGGCACAGGCAGGATAAATCAGCAACCTTCTTACTGCTAGACAATGAATTGGAATCATAATGTGCATGAAATTTTCTAACAAGCTGGCAACAATGAACATGAAATGGAAAAAAAACATGTTATTCCATGTAATGAGAGGGATTTTCTTTATTTCAACAAATTTAGAGATCTTATGATAAAACTGTCATTGCTAATCTAAATCATTATGAAGCTTCATTAATGTCTGCAGATTCAGATGGAATAAACTCGCACCATAATTATGATAAAACACAGAAAACAGCTTATGCATGGATCCTTCTTGTTTACTGTAAACCGCACAGAGCCAGTTTTACTATAATTAAACTGCATTTCTACTAAAGTCAGTCAAGTAATAACATAAATATTTATATTTTCAGTGACAGAGTATTATTTACCACTTCAAATTTTACTTACAGATAATATTTACTGTCATTATTGTAGCCTAGATTACATTATTTCTCAAAAGTGAGTAAACTTTGACAGATCTAAAGGTCAGCAATAATCAAGCATGTTTTAAACAAGCAAAACTGAACGAAACTCATACGCAAATAGGGAACAAATGCAAAACACCAACTGCCATTTCTGATCTCTATGCAAATTGCCTGCTGCACATTTTTTTATTGCATTTAATTTGTATTTGTTGTTTTGTTGTTATTTGTTTTTGTACGTGGAAAGAACATGAGGTTTTTCATGCACTCTGACCCACTTTTTGCATCGATGTAATATGCTCTGCGGTCTCTGCAGGCCATCGGCTAAAGACTATTTATTGCATGTAGTGGGTGTGCTGCAAGCTCTTGTGCGTGTATAAGTGAAGGTGGGTTTTGGTTCGTTCCTAAAACAACAGGCTTACAACAACCTAATATTTTAATTAAAACAAAGCATTTTATGATCTGGAGCTAAGTCAGTTTTCAGTTTTGGAAAAACCTTGACCTTGATGCAGAATTAACTAAATTTGTATTATGCATATATAATAAAAATAAATAAATGAGCTGTTGAATAATGTATTTTGTATTAATGTATTTTATATCTTAATATAAATAAAGAAGAACATTAAGAACCGCATAAGGTATTAATATAATTTATAAATGTCTGTATGAGATTAATACATGAAATATTGGTGTCAAATACAAAACCACCTCTTCAACTGTAAACAATGTCGTTTTGAAAGTGTGAAGACAAAAAGAAACATGTTTGTGATTGCAAAGGCTATAAACTTTCAAATCAAGTGTCATTTTCCACTAACTCTTAAATTATTTATTTAGTTTAACGGCATTCTCTTGTTACTGCTGTCTTCTCTGTAGTCTTTCTTTCATCCTTGTCTTCTTAAAAAAAACAGATAAATATAGGCTATTATTTAACCTTTTGTTATTTTTAATATTCTGTTCTTACAAAAAAAATAATTTACCTCGATTTTATAGACCCATCGAATGCCTCATGTGCCGACGTTTGCTACTTTTTTAACCTCCAGACACTCTGTAAAACATTACAGAGCTACACGTGTTCAAAACGTTTATTCGTTAATTTGCTAGCGTAGTTAAAACTACATTCACGATTACGAATGCTGGAATAACTAAAACAAATAAATTGCACATTATGGTTGAGTAATATTCACTTGTGCTTCTCAAACAAAAAAACAAAAAACAAAAAAAGGAGGGTCCATACTGGCCAACCCACAATAGCTTAAATCAACAGTGTTGTTTGAACAAAGTATTTTCGGATATGTAAGCTTCAAGACTGGATTTTGTTAACGGATATGGTGCTTTATGTTTTTTTCAGTTTTTGTCTTTGGCTTTTGTGTGGTAAGTTTTTACTTTTTTATGACTTCTTGTAATGTAAAAAACGTTGTGTAGACTGTGTTCAAATAATACCAATCTGATACTTCATTTTCACTGAATTTCTCATTGAAAATGTAGGCTATCAGTGCTGATTACAGTATTTAAAAAAATAGCGTTCTTATATATACTGTATATATATATATATATATATATATATATATATATATATATATATATATATATATATATATATATATATATATATATATATTTGACAGGGAAAAAAATAAAAAAAAAAAAATACATGTGAAAGTTTGTATTTTGTGGTTACTATTTTTTTACATTCAACAAACGCGATTTACCCATTATTCAAGACTAATTGTGTAATTATGAAAGAAAATACATTTTTATGTCTACAACTGATAAATTATGTAAAATCATTGTTATTAAGAGCAACATTGTGATCAAGAACAAAATGTAAATATTTTGTCAGTCCTTATTGCTTTTATTAAATATTTAAGATTTAATTTTGACAAGTGGTGAGGAGAGAACAAAAGAAAAACTATATCCAAAGTCATAAATGCTCAGATATTTTTGTTTTGAGTGAGCTAATTGCTTTACATTAATTAAACTGCTCATACATCAGTATAATTTATTGTGCTATTTTGCATTTTTTTTTTTTTACATTTACAAATACTCAAAGAAGATATATCAGATATAGATCCAGAACCACGTTTTAGACAAAATCACTGATTTTAATTGGTTCTTTTGGCTTTGGTGGCATTGATTCGCACAGTTTGCACAGCTCCAATTTAGTCACAGTGTCATAAAATTATAATGGATGTAAGGCTAGGCTATTATTTTCTGTTTTTAAATAAACTCTGAAAGATATCTGAGAGAATATTGTATGTGACAATGTTTCTTATAGGTGTTTCTGGTGTTCAAGCAGAAGAAACAGAGATGAAATCAGTGACTGAGGGAGATTCTGTCACTTTAAACACTGGTGTTACTGAAATAAAAAGCAATGATCAGATACTGTGGTCATTTAGGTTTAATAATACAGAGACTCGTATAGCTGAAATCTATAAACAGAAAAACTATACATATGATAATGAGAATGAGAGATTCAGACACAGACTACAGTTAGATGAGAAGACTGGATCTCTGACCATCACAAACATCAGCAAAATACACTCTGGACTTTATAAACTAATGATCATCAGTGGAGATAACACATACAAGACTTTCAATATTGATGTCAATGGTGAGCAAACTGAAAAACACTCGTTTTAATCATTTTTCTGTACATGTGGTTTTAATTCACGGAATGTTTAATAATCTTGAAACATTATTTTCAGCAGCTGTCTGCTCATGATTTTGTACTTTTTTTTGTTAGGTATTCTGGCAGTTCCTGTCGTTATCAGAAATTTACCAAGTTTAGCTTCATCAGGATCCTCAAACCAGCATTGTTCAGTGTTGTGTTCAGTGGTGAATGTGAGCGCTGTGAGTCTCTCCTGGTACAAAGGAAACAGTGTATTGTCCAGCATCAGTGTGTCTGATCTCAGCATCAGTCTTTCTCTACCTCTGGAGGTGGAATATCAGGATAAAAACACCTACAGCTGTGTGATCAACAACACCATCACAAACCACACCACACATCTGGACATCAGTCAATCCTGTCAGTCAAGATCAGGTACTCTTATAGGACTTTTACAGTGAACAAAATTAGCCTTTTCATCCAAATTTGCATAAATGTTGCTTTCACTTTCACTTACACATAATTTGACTACTCAATCCACCCATCTTAATTAATCTCTCAAATGTTTTTGAGTAAATTATCTAATGTTAAATATTTGAAGGGATAGTTCATAGTTCCCATCACTTGTTCCAAACATGTTTGGTTTTCTTTCTTCTGCTGAACACAAAGGAATATAATTTTAAGAATGCTGCAAACCTGTAACCATTGACTTTCATAGTATTTGTTTCTCCTATGGTAGTCAATGGTTACAGGTTTTCAAAATATTTTCTTTTGTGTTCAGCAGAAGAAAGAAACTCATAAAAAGTTTATAACTAACTGAGGGAGAGTAAACTAAGTTAACATTTTTGGGGCGAACAATCACTTTGAATACATTTTTTTTCTTTTGCAAATTGAGCAAAATTTGATGTAATATTTTGTTTGTTTTAATGATGTTGAGAAGAATGTAAAATAAACTGTGTTCTTAAAATGTTCTTGGTCTGGACAAAAAATTGGTCAGACAACATTTTCAGAACATCTATTTTGGATTGAACATTAATCTTCTTGGAATATTATAATTAAATGTTTAAAGAATGTTATGTTGTGAGTACACAAAGGAGTAGGAGGAGTATGTTGCATAAACATTACATGGCATTTTAAATAATGCTCTAAAAACAAGACTTTAAATGTCCAGAAACCCTGCAAATCATTGCTCACACAACGTTTTAAACATACATTTATGTTAACTGGCAGTTAGATTATTATCAGTTTGGAGAAAAACAAACACAGCAAAATTTGTAACATTTTTTTTCTATTGTAAAACAGAGTAATAATTAACTGTCAGACTCACAGTAGAGGCTGTTTGTTTTATTTCTCTATTACAGAATCCAGAACTTCACTTCATCTCCTGGTTGTTTTGCTGCTGCTGTTTTTAATCACAGTTACAATCGTGACAATATTCTGTCACCACAAAAAGCATGTAAAACAAAAAGGCATGTATTACACACAAATCAAACAACATTTTTGTTACATAAGTGTCACCAAATATTATAACTACATCAATAACTTTTTTATGAATTTTTCTTAAGCAGCTCAGACCAATGAGGAAGATATCGATTATACTGAACCAACACTTATTCCACATGGAGATCAGGATACGGTATGTTGTTCATAGGATGTTTGTTATTCTCTGCTCCAAATCTCTTTGCTTTAACAAATTGACATTTTAAAAATATTTGGATTTGTTGATTCTTAAGGTGCTTATGCTTTCTTTTGTGGCATGAATAAGGAAATCAACCCATAAATAGTGCATTTTGTCATAGTTAAAAAAAAACACCTCAAGATCTAAGGATCTGCTGTTTATTTTTAGTGCATCTAAATCCATAAGTGCACTTGCATGATGAAGTTCGAATGAATATATGATAATTCATACGTGACAAAACATTTTTTATTATAATCATCTTTGTGGAAATGAAATGTCTTGAATAGATATAACCCATTGTTTTTATTTCCTGAATCATATTCTCATTTTTCTTTTGACTTCTCAATGTGTTTTTTTTTTCTTACAGAGAGCTGAAGAACAGGAACAGACGGTGTATTCAGAAGTCTTTTTGAAATGCTGATCATGTAAAGTTGTAATATTATACATTTTAACACAGGTTTGAACATGTTGAAGCTCAAAACCCTTGTTTCTACAAATGGCTGAAATTCACATTTAAGAAACCTTTATTGTCTGAAGATTTCACAAATATTAAAATGACAATCCACTTTCAGGAACTGTGATGTGTAGTATACAACACAGTAAAACAAAATGTAAAGAAAAAAAAACTTGCAGGTATTGATGCCTTAAAGATAAAAATATCTTGTAATAATTTAAGTTGATTTAGCAAAGAAACACAACATTTTTGTTTAAACCTGTTTTAGGGTTTACATTTAATTCCAATTCTGTGTTTTGCTGTGCTATGACTCCCTCTGCAGGACAAAGAGCTAAACTGGGGATAAGATTAAAAAAAAATGTATTGCTGCTTTTATAAAAAAATCAGTTCAACTTGATGTAAACTGTTAATAGTTTTACATTTTTGCATACATACATGCATACGTACATGCATACATATTTAGTCTGTTGTTAAAAATAAAATTACATTTTGAAACTCTCTCACCGCTTACTGTCTCTCCGTGGTAAAGTCCAGATGCTAGAGAACTGACCAGGTGAACACAATTTACATTGCATCTGAAATTATTTGTGTTGTCTGAAGGCTACAATGCTATTTTCTCAACTAGCATACGTGAATACACAAATGTAAAAATACATACACTGCACGATTGAGAGAAACGAAAAGCTTGATTTGCAGACTGTGACTTTTAAGTGACTGTCTTACTGATCCCATTTAAATTGGATCATCAAAAACATCTTAAAGGGTTAATTAACCCCAAAATGAAACTTGATCCTCACTATTTACATACAAAATCAAGTGGTTATAAACGTTTATAAAAGCCGTTCTTCTGATTAAAGAATTTAGATTTTTTTGTGAACTATCCCTTTAGTAAAGACCAAAAAGGGATGAAGACCAAAAACAATGAATCTTTAAAAGCAAACTCATGAATATGTAGATATTTACCAAATGTGAAAACATTTCAAATATTCAATATTTTTAGGATGAGTTTGATCACCGGTCTTCTGACTCTGAGGCTCCCTCTGCTGACCGTTTGTGAAACTCAATCTATGTAAAAAAAAAAAAACAGCATCCTGATCAAGTTAGTTTCTGCAGGTAGAAAACTGTATACACATACATATTAAACATTTATTGTTTAATAACAGGCAGATAAAACACAGTTCTGTTACATGCGACCTATCACTAGTTGAAGATGACTGACAGGCCATATACAGGGGCTTATGTTTTGATGCAGGGCAGGCTGCGGTTTACTGAAAATTAGAAAATGCTGCATAAAAATGCCCAATAGCAGTTGATGAAGGCTTATTTGAAGAAGATTGAAACAAAGAGAGTTCAAATACATTATATTATTTTACTAATGAAGAATAAAAGGTCAGGAAATGTCTGTAATCTCCCTTTTTTAATTAAACAGCATGGGTTGTCAGATTGCCCTTTTTGCACTTTGCCACACTGGCAGCTTGGTTAAGAGTTTGCAGAGAGATCTGCTGTGGTTTGTTTTATTTAGGTCATTATCATACTTTATATGTTCAGGACTTGATAGACATTTTAACGAAATACATTTCAGCTTGAGGTTTTGAGAAAGTGGTGCACATAGTTGATTATCTTTTTAGGATTCTTTATTTCATTTTTGATTCATTTTCAGAAAATAATTTTTTTAATTTCCACTTTTGTGTGCATGTGTATGTTTATCACAAAATGTAAGTGGATTTTATTTAATTTCAATGTAAATGATTAATCCAATAAACCAACATTAAGTTTTTTTGCAAAGGATTTGAAATGACTGACATTTGAAAACAAAAATAACACATTTAAATCACGTTGAATGAATTTGTGGAAATTTAAACAAACAAAACAAGGTCAGTTGAAGAAATAATGCAACTAGTTTTATAACGGATTGTATGAATTATTGAACTCTTTCAGCAGCACTATTCTTATGGAGTTTTGAAATACAGTCATTTGGTTACATATTTTGCAGATGTCAGTCATTTAAAGTGATTAACTATAATATCAGGTGATCTGTAAACTATTAAAGAAATCAGAGATCAGATGCAAGACTTTCATAATTATTATTTAATTTATTTTAATTAATTCAACAACTCATCGACATCTGCATTCAGATAGAAAACTAAACTGGACTGCATTAATTATTACTAATATAGATTATCATCTACATTTGACACAGAGACTTACACGAATGCCTAAAAGAAAAAGTCACTTGCTTTTGCAGTTTATGTTTATATATATATATATATATATATATATATATATATATATATATATATATATATATATATATATATATATATATATATATATATATATATATATATATATATATATATATATATATATATATATACATATAATGTGTACAGGTAAAATGCGTTTAATGCCATGAAATGAAACCTCTTCAATTTTAGCGTTGTGCTAAAATGTAAACTCCACTGTGAAGTGGACATTTGTTGTAATTTAACATTATTTATAGTTTATATCTGTTTTCATTTAAAGCATTAATATATTTGACATTCAATCAGTATTTGATTTTACACATATTGAATTTTATTATTAAGTAAGTGTGTGTGAAACAGCTCGTGTTGATGGTGTTTTTCATTCAGATTTTAAAGACAAAATGTGTGACAGAATAAACGTCTGTTGGTGAAGACATGTGGGTCAAACGACCTGATGGAAAATGTTGAGCTGTTATTGAGATCAGTAAACTGGAGGTCTGCACTGTGGTTTAATCGTCTTTGCAAAACACAACTGTGTCTAAAGACAAAAGTGCGGTTTATCGCATTCACAAACAAACATTTAATAAAAAGTGTGTGAAAGGAACAAATAATGTTTATTGTTGATTATTTTCTCTCATGTTTGTTTATCATTGATGGTTTTATTACTAATTTACATAAATCAGGTATACTGCAGGCCTACATCATGTAAAATTGGGGATTTAAGAGTTTATATTTAAAATTCTCTTATTTCTCCTTTTATATTGATCTCTACTTGTATAAAACATATCACACAAAATATTTTAAAGGTATAGGCTATGAATTTATTCACAATTCACTCACTATCAAATGGTTTTAAAACTTTATGGATTTTTTACTACCAAAAATTATTTTTTTTATATTTTATATTAGAAAAAACAAACATTATAAAAGTAAATGGTTACAGCCAGGTTTCCAGCTTTTTTTAGAAAGTCTTCTTTTTTGGTTAAGAAATTTTTTTAAAAAGATATGACAGGAGAGCAAATGATGACACAATTTTCAGTTTTTGGTGAACTTTTCCTTAAAATCAACATTAATAACAATCTAGTGACATATATAAATGCTCATATATAACATGCACCTTTGAAAGAAATGTTACATATATGATCATATTGGTGAACACTAAAAATGTAATTTGCATTTATTGCCACATGCTATCAGATTTCTTCATCATTCAGATACTTGTAAAACCAGAAAAAGATTTAAAATGCTATTTCTTAACCTGACAGAAAACGATCAAGTTCAAGTTGCTTTATTGGCATGACATTTAGTAAAGTATTGCCAAAGCTTTTTAAGATATGTAGATATGTAATATATTAACAACCTCAAACTAATCAAATATACAGTAAATAGAAATAAATGACAAAAAAACAATTACAATCATAAATAAAAAAATCTAGATTATTTAAATAAGATACATTAATTTAAATTCTTATGGCGTGTAGGGTGAATACATATTTTGCAGCTAGTTAGATGTGAATTCATCCTCTCCGAGTACATGGTAAAGTTTTTCTGAGTCATTTTAATTTAAAAAAATTGATTAATATTTATTTCAAATTGGCAAAAAAATATTTCTGTAGTTGAATTTCCTATCAACAGTTGGATTATTCACCCACTTCAAATAAAATGTAGTTTAAAACTTATTTTTCATCTATAACTTGGTCCAATATTTTAATCTATTTTCAGGGTAAATGGCCAACTAAAAAACCATAAAAAGACCACCTCATGATCAACTGCACAATAAAACATTTAGTGACAAAAAGTCAAGACAATGAATACTTTATGTTGCTTTAGCTTATTTTAATGAGTTTTTTAATTATACAGTGTAACAACTTTAGTCAGGTTCATTTAAGTTGAGATGACTCAAAAAGGTTCATTTGATATTATACTAAAACCTTAAGGCAGCAAGATTTTTTAACTGTGTGAAGTTGAATGAGACGCCTCCCTCTTTAGTTTGTTCTGTCTGTTCTAGTTTGCTGGCTGTTATCAGACCTGTTGCCTCTCATGCTTCAAGACTTTTTGGGGTATTCAGGAATATGGTTGTTTGTGCATTTTTACTCTTTTGTCTGTGGCTTTTGGGTGGTAAGTAGCTTTATTTGTGACTTCATGTAATGTCGAATTCTTGCAATATAATTTCTTGTCTTACAGTTTGAAGCTGAAATGCCGTGAGACACTGTGTTGTAGTTTGTTAAAATAAAACCAGTTTGAACTAATCCTCATCATTTTGTATAATCTTCACTCAAATTTAAGCGTATATGGGTCTAAAAAAACTTAGACTCCAGGGGCCTGTTTCAGAAAGGAGGTTAAGTGAAAACTCAGAGTATTTTAACCCTGAAATGAGAGAAACTCTGGGTTTTCCGTTTCAAAATGGCAGGTTTGTTAAACTCGAGAAAGCAGGGTAAGTCAAGCCTGTTTCTGAAAGAGAGGTAACTTTAACTCAGAGTCAGTTACTGTGGTAACTTACTCTGTGAATCTAACCTGGTCAGAAGCAGGTTTTATTCTCTAAACTCAGAGTTTCTGTAGGTCTCCTCCCCTTTTTTAAAGATGAAGCGGTATTTCTCGCCTTAGCCTTACGTTTCCACCCACCTATTTTAATGCTCATTTTGGATACGTGCATAAAAACGATTGATAGAAACGTCATGATGCACATAACTTTTTAAAATATGCATAAAAAACGCGCATAACTGAGTAGGATAAACTTTTATTCGATAGAAAATGTGCGCATAAACTACGATGGAAACACTTTTACTGAACAAATTACAGTATGTACATTAAAAAAAAGATCATGATCATATGATAATGAAAATGTGTGTAAATGGAGGCTCAGCACACTGTAACACGTCTTAAATGTTGTTTTAGTCATTCTAAAATGCCTTAACTGTTTCAGTATTAGTGTATATTATTAATTACCCCCGAACGTCTGGTGCGTGTCAAGAGTCTCCGCGTCTCATGGCTTCAGACGCCCCCACGTGTTCATTGTGTTTCAGCATTGTCTTCTGACATCGAGGCGCAAGTACATTAATTAGGCTAAATAAAGAATTAATTGACGCAGCTTCTTCTACCGCAGTAAATTCTGTTTTTACTGTTGATATTTGGTGCCAGTTAAATCAGGAAGTGACAATTTTTTTCTCTTTAACTCGTTGGATGGAATTTTATTCGCATCTTTTATGCAATATTCCAGTTTTGCACATACATTTATGTAATATATTTGGATTGAAACATAGCTATTGCCTATATTTTAGTCACACACAGAAGAACTGTACTAGAATGGCTTATCCTTTTTTAATAAATAATTAAATTGAATTCACCTTCGATATGCACTGTAACTAGATTAATGGGATTATTATTCTTTCTAAAAATTATTTTTAGTACTGCTTACCTTCTAAATGTTATATTAACCTCTATCACTTGATCAATAAAAAAGGCAGACACACAAGTGCACTGTTAAATCATTTAAAACTAATAAATGTATAAAAGAAAGTTTAGAAAAATATATATAAACTTCACAAATTACATTACTTATTTTATTATACTTAAATATTTAAATACTTAAAAAGTTAAATTAGGCATTATCTTGAGCAGCTGTTTTCCCACGCTAACTGGTTGATGGCTGCTTCTTTTCAAATATACACACTCATATTTGCTATAACTTTGCATGAGAACATCAAGTTCAGCTGGAAAAAGAAATGGTGATCTCTTTTATAAGATATTGCCATAGTCACTCGTAATGTCTGCGCTCCATTGATAATGCCTTTTTGTAGTCACGGTGTGCGCGCTTAACTCTGAGTTGGTCTACTCGAAGTTGATTGACCCAACTCAGATCAGCTGTTCTGAAACCGAAAACTCAGAGTTTTTAATCTCTCGGTAAATCAACTTAGAGTTCAAGTTTAAACTCTGAGTTGTTTGAACCTCCTTACTGAAACAGGCCCCAGGAGTGTTAAAGGACCAGCACTCATAACAAAAAAGTGGCTTTAAAACAATACAATAAAATTGCATTCTCATGTATTTTTACAAGCACAATTTTAAATATTTAAAAATTTTGGGTTGCTATGTTGGCTATTATACAAATAGAGATGATGTTTTTCTTTTTTATTATTATTAAAGTTTAGAATAAACTGTTTTAAAGAAAAAAAATATTTTTTTCATTAATATTTCAAGTTTATTTGTAGCACTTTTTACAATAATTATTGTAAAAGAAGACTACCTTTTTTAATCAGGCTTCAGACTTTTGACGTTTTGAAGTGAGAATGCTTGGGCTGTCAGAAATAAAGAGAGAGAACAGTGTATGTTTTTTGATTTGTTGAAACATTGCACCAGATACAACTGAATCAGTAGCTATTTTAAATTTTTTAAATAAATTCTGATAATATCTGAGAAGATCTTCTGTGACTATATTTCTTCCAGGTGTTTCTGGTGTTCAAGCAGAAGAAACCGAGATGATATCAGTGACTGAGGGAGATTCTGTCATGCTAAACACTGGTGTTGCTGAAATAAAAAGCAATGATCAGATACTTTGGTCATTTAGGCTTAATAATACAGAGGAACGTATAGCTGAAATCTATAAGCAAAGAAACTATATTTATGAAAATAGGAATGAGAGATTCAGATACAGACTACAGTTAGATGAGAAAACTGGATCTCTGATCATCACAAACATCAACAAACTACACTCCGGACTTTATAAACTGATGATCATCAGTGGAGATAACACATACAAGACTTTCAATATTGATGTCAATGGTGAGCAAACTGAAAAACCTTATTAAATGATCTTTATTATATTAAATGATGATTTTAGTTTAAATCAAATATACATCTGGAACTTCTTATCATGCACTTTTAATTATATATACAATTAGAGGAATGTATATCTTAATTAGATATACAAATTAGGCACACGCCTAATTTTTTTTTTTTTAGGTAAAAAAAAAAAAAAAAAGCAAACAAAAACTTCTCATCTGTATGAGTCACTAATTAGTCATTTTCCCTCCAGTTATAACAAATGATCTGATTCTATTTGTTTTTTCTTTGCACACATGCTAGTCGTATTACTATTTGGTCAACTGTGTATAATTTTTCACTTATTTGCAGCTCATCTGCCAGTTCCTGTAATTAGCAGCAACTCTATAAACGGTTTAACATCTTCATCATCATCTTCATCAGTTCAGAGATGTTCAGTGTTGTGTTCAGTGGCGAATGTGAGTGCTGTGAGTCTCTCCTGGTACAAAGGAAACAGTGTATTGTCCAGCATCAGTGTGTCTGATCTCAGCATCAGTCTCTCTCTACCTCTGGAGGTGGAAGATCAGGATAAAAGCACCTACAGCTGTGTGGTCAACAACACCATCACAAACCACACCACACAACTGGACATCAGTCAAATCTGTCAGAGAAGATCAGGTATACAGACAGCAGCATTCTTAACATTAACTGGTAAATGTGCTGATCATATTGTGTCTGGATGAAGTCATATTGAAATAACTGATTATCTTCTGTTTATTACAGAAACATTCCATTATGCATATTTCCTGCCGCTCATAACCGTTTGTGTGTTTCTGCTGCTCATTTCTGCATGTGTGTTTTACTGCTGCCGCAATAAATGTGACCAAGACAAACCAGACGGCAAGTATCACTATAGACATGACAGAAAAACTGGTTTAGAACAATTTTTAAATTAATAAATGTCATCAGTGTAGTGGCAGGATGATGATAAATGAGCTCAACATCTGCGTGTGTTTGTGTTTTTTAAGATGAGAAAAGCATGTCGGAATACACAGAGATCATCTACAGACAAACATCACAGATCATCAGCCGTAAAACACCACAACTCACCACGAACATCTGCTTTCAGACAGAAAACTCAACCTGCCTGCATTAGTCCTGTAGGTTATCTATTTTCATTTAATTAATAAAGCACCATTTAATGGAAAACAAGCAGTTTTACAAGATTACAGACTCTAATACAATATGTCCATTCAGTGTAAATGCATTAGTGTTGACTAGAACTATACTAAACCTGTGTATTTGATTATTCAATAAACTTTGATTTCTCAATGGGATCTTTGATTATCTTTTTTTATTTATTTTTATTTAAAGATTCTGCCTTTATTCTCTTAACTCATTTATTTTATTTTGTGTGTTTACACACACACACACACACACACACACACACACACACACACACACACACAGTTCTGTCTGTTTCTCAAATCTGATTGGCTGGTAGCCATGAGATATTAAAGCAATATCAGTGCTCATACAGCCTATTCACCCTTGTGTATTACTTCACCCATATGAGAGGACAACAGTTTGACAAAAATCGCAGTTGTTGGACAACATAATGTATTTTGAGGCTTATTTAGGTGAGAATGTTGTTGTTAAGGTTGCAACTATTCAGTTTATTCATAAGGACGTTGCATATTTTAAATATTCAAAATCTCAGAGATTCAGCATATAGGTGGACATCAGCCTGTTTTACTGAGCAGAGCAAAGACGGTTGATGTTCCACTACAAGATGTCGACAGAGACCGCATAAGAGGACCAAAACAGCATTTTTTTCAGCGTACATTTCAAACTACAGCTGAACAAATCATTATAAAATACATGTGACATTCTAGGTCGATCTTTCTCTTTTGTATTTTGTAGTGCTGTATTTATACCATAGTAATCTGGTAGTGTTTGATTTGCCTTGGCAGTTTTAGGGTTAATTATTGTGATCTCTCAATTGCAACAGATTTGTCATCACTTTAGATCATGAGTTCCCAAACTCAATTCTGGAGGACCAGTGTCCTGCAGAGTTTAGTTCCAACAGAAACTTCCAGGCAAGTGTGTTGAAGGTAATTCAAGGTAAACTATGCAGGACACTAGCCCTCCAGGACCGAATTTCAACACCCCTGCTTTAGACATTACGCTAGAAAATCATTCAAATACTAGCTCTAAAGTGACGTTGGTAAATTAGCAATGGTTTTTGCTGTTCTGACGTCAGCAGTAGATGTGAATGAACAGCAGAAAAAAAAGTAGTTCCTCAACAAAAAAAGGATTTTAAGACTCTTCGTGTTTAATTTTCTTTTTTATATACATGATTATGCCGCTGAACTGTTGTATAAACGCAATATCACACTTGTAGCAGTGCAATATGGCTGTATATCAGCACTGGTGGGACACTAGGCACTCCGTCTGCAGCCTTGAGCCAACACACGCATCTCACCAGTACTGATATACAGCCATATTGCACTGCAGCTTGTGTGATATTACTCACATATAGAGAAAACTAAATAAATTAATGAGTATTATTAATATATAACTATTTACTCGTACTCAAGTAGTTCTAGACCTTTATGGATTTCTTATAAATTGAACACAAAAAAGTGTGTTATTCTGAAGGATGTTCTGAACATTAGCCATTGACAGGCATAGGAACAAAATATGTGGATGTCAATTGCTGTCAGAGGACATTCCTGAGTATATCTCTACTTTTGTTCAACAGAAAAAAACTCAACAAGGGTTTGGAACATGTAAAGGATGATTAAATGATGATGACAAATTTTTTTGTTTGTTTATTTTTATGGTTGAACTATATCCCTTTAAGACCGTTGGAAGAGAACCAACTTAGGCTCATAAAAAATGCATGCCAGGGCTATGTTAATGACACATTTTGCACCCGTTTCTTGTTTTTAAGATCAGATAAGTTGTCTAAGCTCAATGCGTGTGGGTTGATGTGCTGAGAGGATGCAAACGCACACAACTGGTGTTTGTTAGACAGTGTGTTTGTGTTCGTGACAGTGTGAGACAGGGGCTGTTTCCTTTGGTAACAAACAAACCTGATCAGACTTAGTGATAACCTGAATTATAAAGGGTTTTTATTATCATGACCTGCAATCTAAACGCGTGAAGTCTGTAAAGTAAATCAAAGAAGATGATAACTAACAGATCGAATGTAGTCTGAGGAAAACCAGGGGGCTTTTGCTTCAGTAGTGGACAATTAGTAAACAGATTCAATAAATTGATCTGTTGTGTCTAAAGTGACTCTCGACTGGATGATTCTACAATGACGTCTTCTCAACTGTGTCCTCTGATGCTGTTAGTATTGAGCGGTGAGATATTTATATTATATTTGTGTTTTAGAAAAAGTAGAGCATTTACTTAAATACATTTCCACAAGACGGAAAACAGCTTTATCTTTTAGGAGCGAGTCATTAGACTCTATGAATTGACCTTTTAGTACTGTATGTTCATTTAAATATGGCCTTATAATAACATTTTTCAGGTGTGTTTCTTGCTGCTACATACAAAGTGAAGTCAGTATCAGTGACCAAGGGAGATTCTGTCACTTTAAACACTGATGTTACTGAAATACAGAGCTTTGATTACATTTTGTGGATGTTTGGACCTCGAGATACTCATATTGCTGAGATCTTCAGGCAGAACATTAACAAGTTTGACAGCAATGAGATATTTGGAGACAGACTCAAGATAGACAGACAAACTGGATCTCTGACCATCACAAACATCACAACTGAACTCTCTGGACTTTATAAACTCACCATCATCAGCAAGAGGCTAAATTCCAATCAGAGGTTCAATGTTATTCTCTATGGTGAGTAAAATGAAGTAATTTAAGATAATTACTGAATATTACATTGTAAAAAAAGTGATTAGCTGACTTTAGTTTAAAAAGGTGAGTAAATTTGTTGTCTTAAAATGATTAAATACATGAGCTACGTGCATAGTTGTAAAATACAACAAAGTCAACTTTAAGTTAGTGGTTAAAGTTGAAGTTGTCCTCCCCCAGCCCTGCACATTTTAAATGTCTCTTTTATTTGATACAAAAGGATCAGTTCATGGATCTCTCTAATAATGAGCTGATGATCTGATTAAGGTGTTTTAGAAAGACATGAAAAATGTACAGGATGGTGGGGGACCGAAGACCACAATTGAGAACCACTGACTTAAAAGGAACAGTCCAATTTTGTTCTTCAAAACTAGGTCCATTTTACAACTCGCCTATAGTTAAACTGTTTTACAATTTTTTTATCTATTCAGCGGAGTCCAGTGGGAACACATTCAGCTTAGCTTAGCATTAGGGTTAAGCCAATAGATAATGCCATCGTCCATCACAGACAGCCGATAGCCATCACGATGCTGAGGCAGCATCGCAATCCTCCGCCCCACAATATAAATACACGATTAGGCCCCGTTTACACCACTTAGTTTTAAAATGGCATTTTAGAACAAAAACAGTCCACGTCTACGTTGACGTTTCACCAAGTATTTCTGAAAAACCCTCCTTCCACACTATACCACTGACAAAAGCACATCACTTGACCACACACACACACACACAAACACTCTGTCATGGGCTGCAGCGCCTGAGCTCCAGCAGTCAGCCCAGAGAGCAGTGCACGTCAGACAGTTTATAAAGGATGTACCGCTGGATGGCGTCTCACTATAGATGGTAAATGTGATATTTATCTCATCTTGTTTCTATCTAACGACTCTTCGGTCTTTTGAATTTATCAGGTAACGTGTCACAGCATCAGTACACTGCTTCAATCTTTCACTTCGCATACTTAGTTATTTTAGTGAAAACCTCAGATACTGTTGGTTGGTTCCTGTTGGTTGTGCACCTTTTTTACCAACCAAGTTTGTCGACGCCATTATAATGACACAGATCACTCTGCCTATTCATGCCAGAGTCCCGCGGAAAAAGTGATTGACAGGTTGTCATTTGTGTGTAACTTATTTTTATTTATTTATGATTTGGTTATGGGTAAAACAAAGACCACATGGGTCAGGTAGTTGAAACATTAGGCTACAAATAATTAATTTGTTATAAATTATTAATTTAGCGCTGCCTATGTTGTATGTTTTATATATTTTAACATACAACTTCTCTTTTTACCACAGTAAAGCTCAAAGTGTCTTCTTTCCAATGATACATAATTTGTGTTTGTAGCTTACTGGAGTCAGGAACTGTTACTATTTAAAGTTAGGTAGGTGTAAATCCCCAAAATTGAGTGCTGGCTAACAGATTAAAAGGTTTTGTGTTCTCTTGTGAGAGCACCTCACTAAATATGACACTGAGGCTTTAAGTCTTTTTGTCGTCAATATATGTAAATCCATACTTTACATATTCGAGGTCATACTTGCGCTTCGACATATTTGTTACTATAATTAAATGAAATTTCACAAGTCAAACGGTAGGGTTGTCACGCCAGAATTTCAAAATAAAAGTCCAGCAAATGCAAAATAAGTTAAAAAAATGTAATTTTTTGGGGGTTTTTTGACCACACACTCCGCGACCCACTGAAAATGTTCCTGCGATCCACTTTTGGGTCGCGACCCACCAGTTGAGAAACACTGATCTATACAGTACTCTCATTTCTGTCTAATAAACAAGGTACTTTGCTGCCATACCATAGCTACAGCCGGCGCTTTGTTAACCTTAATTAACCTCTATCATAGTACACAATGAAACAACAGAAGAGTCAAGAGCTTTAAATAGGAAAATTATTAAAATATTTTTGTCATTATTGAGCAAGATGCTAATGGTCTAATCTGATTCAGTGGTCTATGCTCAACTAATATAAAAAGTGCTGCTGCCAGACACAGAGATCGGCTGAAGGAATTAAAATTGGTAAAATTCTTCTTTTTATCTCTAGAGGGTTGTAAAATTAGTTTTCATAAAAGGAGGAGCGTTCCTTCAGCAATCCAAGTCACACTCTGTTTATTCACATCTTTAAATTAAAGCAATCAATCACTTTTTACAGGAAACTAAATATATATACAGACAGTCTTTTTTTAGATTTTACTATTATTACCTGGCTTGAATTATGGCTAATAACGTTTATTTCATAAAATTTTACCAGCTCCTCTACCTGTTCCTGTCATCAGCAGTTACTCTACAACATGTCCTTCATCATCATCATCATCAGTGTCCAGATGTTCAGTGTTGTGTTCAGTGTTGAATGTGAGTGCTGTGAGTCTCTCCTGGTACAAAGGAAACAGTGTATTGTCCAGCATCAGTGTGTCTGATCTCAGCATCAGTCTCTCTCTACCTCTGGAGGTGGAATATCAGGATAAAAACACCTACAGCTGTGTGATCAACAACACCATCACAAACCGCACCACACATCTGGACATCAGTGAAATCTATCGCACATGTTCAGGTATGATAAAGGTGATTTTAGTGGTCTTTACTAACCTAAAAGAGTTCAAGTGATGTTTATAACCCTGTGTTTCTCCTTCAGACTCTGACCAGTGTTGTGGATTTACTGATGCTGTGATACGATTGGTCATCTCTGCTGTAGTGGGCGTGGCTACTGTTGCTGCAGTCATTTATGACATCATATCTGAACGTTCAGAAAGACAGCGTATAAAAAACAGCAGGAGGCGATATATTCAGATCTAACACACTTTTAGATTTAGGTTTTAAAGAATCAGGCAGTTTAACTGATGAATCTTGTTAAACAAATCAACTCATTCATTAAGTGGCAAAACTCCTTTCTGGATCAAAAAATAAATAAATAAACACTTTATCCCTGCAACAAGCTATTACTGAAAATGTGAAATACTGCTTTCTGTTGTGTACCTTACAATTAGTTATTACTGTGCAACAATTATGTCTTAAAACTTATTACTACTGTGCAATTATTAGCAATAAATCAAACTGAATTATTTGACTTAATAAATTACTTTACTTACAGATTGAATATCCATTGATTATTGGTAGTTTCTTGTTTATTTTGGAAGGATTGGTTAAATATAGCTGATGGAGACTAACTACATCATTCACAAAGAATCCAGACTAGTGCCTTTAATCCTCTAAAATATATTTAAAAAAACATTCATTTTTATCAAGCTCTAGGTCTAGGAGATGTTTAACTCCCTCTTCTGGCCAACATCTGATCTAAACTGGATAAGACTACACTTTTATTCATCTCGAAAACAATAATGTAGTCCAGTATTTAGCAAAAAAAACTTTTTACTAAACTTTTCAGTGTAATCTATGTCTTGACACCCGATAGAGCTCTTGATAAGCATCTGAATGAGTTTCTCTTAGGTAGAGGAGTCAGTCTAACTTATCTGTGTTGCTCTTTGGTTCTAGATCATGGGTGTCAAACTCAATTCCTGGAGAGCCGCAGCTCTGCACAGTTTTGCTCCAACCCTAATCAAACACAGCTGATCCAACTAATCAAGGTGTTCAGGAATACTAGAGACTATTAAGCAGCAGTGAGTTGGTAGTGGTTGCAGCTAAACTATGCAGAGCTGCGGACCTCCAGGAATTGAGTTTGCAACCACTGATCTAGATTAATATCATTTGTGTACTTTAGGTTGTAATAACAAAGACATCTCAAACAATGTCCCCTTGTGACATAACTAGGCAAAAAAAACAGCTACGGCCCTATCATACACCTGGCGCAATAAGCCATAAGATGTGCTTGGCACGATTTGTTGCTATTTTCAGACCAGCACAACTGTTATTTTTATGTTTTGCAGCACATTATTTAAATAGCAAATCCATTTCACCACTTCATGTACTCATGGGTGTGCTAGACTGAAATAGAAGTGTGTTGAGGAACTAAAATAGATTGCGCCATTGACCAACTAAAAGCTGGTCTAAAGTCCAGCACAGAGCATGCTAGTTACGCGCCTATGCAGGTCCAAAATGCTTACACATTGCTTAATACACACAGTATGTATAACAATACACAACTATCTCTACATATGAAAAAAGGATTAAAATGTTATTATATATATTATATATTAAAATAAATATATATTAAATATGTTATATATATATATATATATATATATATATATATATATATATATATATATATATATATATATATATATATATATATATAATTATTATATGTGATATTATTATTAGTAGTATTATTTATTATATGCATATTTCTATTTGTTTTAATAAAAACAAGTTTAGATTTGTCCACCTTTCAGGTTTTGGAGATGTATGCAACACGAAATGGGGCATAAGAAAAGGATGTGTGATTGGATATAACTCAGTTATTTGACCCCACTTCATTAATATTGTTCATTTATTAATTTGCTGGAAATTAAAACTGAATTTATAAATAATTTTGAAACAAATATTTGCGCTTAAACTAAATTAAATGTATAGGCTGATGGGTGTCTTCAGTGGAAAGTAAAGACTAAAAGTAGTGTAAAAGTGTAAAAGTAAAGTAAAGTAAAGTAAAGTAAAGTAAAGTAAAGTGAAGAAAAATGAAAGAGGCCAAATGGCTGAGGCTCCTTCTTTATCCTGGTGCTGCAGATGGTCTGTTTAACAGTTTTAAGTCCGCCATGTAAATACCAAATGCACCATGGCCTGTCAACATTGGGATGTGAAAATAAGGAATATGCCAAACTATAATATGGGATTCCCCAACCCCCTCACCCCCCCCCCCTCTTAAAAAAATCCCCAGATTACTAAATATGTTAATTTTTAGCTGTTTCATTGTAAATAAACAGTTAAATGGTCAGTAATATTTTGTTTAATTATTATTAACAAAAGAAAAAATAAATATATACATTTACAGCAAAAACATTAGCAAACAGTTCAGCTTATTAAAATTAATAGCTATTATAATGAAACAGAATCAAGCTATCAAACTCATAAGCCGTTTCTCCAGTGTATAACTTACACATTGTGATTAAAGAGCAACGAATGAATCTCGCATTTAATAAGATTTTTTTTTACATTAAATAATAGGTGTCACTTAAAAAATGCACACATCTAATCTTATAATAAAAGCATTCGACTGCTTTCCTAAATTTTTATGCTCATTTAAGTCTAAATTAGTTGTGTTTGGAAAAAAAACACACCAAGATCGATATCCTTATATGTTATTATTATTAATTATGTGTGTATGTCTGTTTAAACACACACCCAAAAGCCAGACTTTCTCTCCGCTTCAAATCACGTGTATAGAATCCGTTTGGGAAACAGCGTCTGTTTATCACTATGGAGCACGTCAGCTGACATTCATGCCCCATTAAGTTATATAACTGTTTTGAGGATTGTATAGGTTGGGCGATGGCACCCGTAATCAAAAATAATGGAATCACGCCGTTTTTAATATTTATTTATAGGTTTTTTCATTCCTAAACAAAGCGAAAGCACAGAACAGACTCACGTTTTAGAGCAAGGGGCGACCCCTGGTGGTTCGGTGGTATTGGTTGCGCATAGGGAGGCTCGGCTGTTCAGAGAAAGACTGAAAATACGGGAGAAATATGGGAAAATACCTTTACGGGACGGTAGCGGGATAGAACAGTAAAATACGGGAGAATCCCGGGAAAAAGCGAGAGGGTTGACAGGTATGCACCATGGCACAATTCAACTGACACTTAAAGGCAATGGGAAATGAGACTTTGATTGGTTTGATGCATTTTATGCTCAAAACAAACCAATAACCTATTAAGAGAATAAGCATAACCATTTTAGACCATGCGCTGGGGTGCAGAGCGTATTTTTCTGTCCTTAAAATAGCAAAAGTTACTTCGGACATGCTCTTAATCAGTGGCGTAGTGGACGGGGCCGCAGGGTACGCACCGCGAGGGGGCCGCACGTGATTTGGGGGCCCCGCGTCATCTCGATTTTCAATAATTGAAAATCCGGCAACCGCAATAATCAAACCCCTGGGAACAACTGTGGTTGGAACCAAAGTTCACAGGTCTGTGTTCTCTGAACTCCTCTCAAACGGTGGACTACTACATTCTGATTGCTTGCCGCCAAACCGCGTCATAGTTCACTAGCATGAAGTTGACTTGATTTCAACTCTCCTCGACGCCCACACTGGAGAAGACGCACCGCGCTGCTCCTCGCCGCCGGCTACTTTGATGCTCTCACCGCTTTCGATGTCAGTTTGTGATCGCTCCCGAGTTTGTAAACGCTCCTCAGTTTGTGAACGCTTCCCCGCGTCGTCGTTCCACCCCCCCCCCCCCCCCCCTCTTCATCAGGGGGCCTCGTCAATGATCCCAACAGGGGGGCCCCCGCATTTTGTGCCTTGCCACTGCTCTTAATGCTTTTGCGCCATGCGCTTTAGACTTTGTGCCTATATCGTTAAAATAGAGCCCTTTATGGAAGTTGTCATAAGCATGCATAACACCTCATTCATATTCATGTCATATCATGGATTATAAAGGTGTCTGAACACCCCCATTATTAAAGTGTTACCCAGAATTTATTATTCAACTAGCCTTTTAATAACAGGTAAGGACCTAAGAAAGCAAGTACAAGACAGGATGAACTTACGAAATATGTAGATTTTATGAAGGCAATTACACTTATAAAAATACTGTTGCGGCTTTTTTAAACTGCTCATTTAAAATGAAACAATAATTCTTAAGTTCAATCCACTTAAAGTTACTTTAAGCGACATGTGTTGGGACAACATGAAGGAATTGTGTGGATTCCAGTGTTCATTAATAGTTTAAGATGCTCGCAATCGCTGTTTTTCTGACTCTAAGACTCCATCTACTGACTACTTGTGAGACTCAATCACTGTAAAAAAGAGCATCCTGGTCAATTAAGTCTCTGCTCGTGGATAACTTAATAAATTTTTATACTCAAAATTTCTTATTTAATAGCTGACACATGAGAACATGCTTGTGCTACCATGCAATCTACAACTAAGAGTTGAAAATGACTGACAGGCCATATACAGGGGCATATGTGGTTTGAAGCAGGGCAGGCTGTGGTTTGTGAGTGAGAAATGCATAAAAGCTACTCAGAAAATACAGAAAAGCACAAGAAAATTTGGAAAAGCATGACAACCAAGCGGGTAAAAGTGCATTATAGTAATGCATTAGCAAAATAAAAAAGATTGGGAAATGTCTGTGTCAGGAAATGTCCCCCTGTTTTTCAATTAAACAGCATCTATTGTCAGGTTGTTGTTGTTGTGGTTTTGAACACACAGTTATTCATACACTTTGCAACACTGGCAGCTCAGTTAAGAGTTCTCAGAAAGATCTGCTATTTTTAGTTCAGTTTCATTTCATTAGGTGTGAACTCTTCATCCTGCTTTATCTAGTTTACAGGTTTAAGACTTTATAACCCATACAATTTCACATTTTAGTTTGAAGGTTTGAGTAAGCGGTGTACATGGTTGGATTACCTTTGTTTTGTTTTTTAAGTTTGACATAGAATTGTGGAGGCATTTTGAAGAGATGGTTTCAAACGTTGCTGTTTTTTGTCTGTGTATGTTCATCACAAAATGTAAGTGGATTTCATTTTATTTTGTTTCAATGTGATCGAGTTTTTATGCAAAGGATTCGAAATGACTGACATTTAAAAACAAAATTAATACATTTAAATCAAGTTGAATGTAATTGTGGAAATATACTTTAGTAAATACAGGGAAAGTTCAATTTAAAACCTTTTTTTTAAAGATATAGCACACTGAATTACAAAAATGATAGTTTCATTGGCAGACAGTATTTTGATGGATTATTTTCAAATATAGTGGTCTGATTAATTTTTTTTTGCTTTAAAAAAGAGATCTCAAAACTTCCAATAGCATGATTTGTTTGTAAAGTATACATTATATAAATAAATTAACTAAATTCTACATAGACACACTAATGTCAG